ATGAGGAAATCCTCCTTATTAGTCGTGTGTAAAAAGCGGCGCTCAAAAATATTTAGTAAGTTCCCGTTTCTACCCAATAATACGAATCTTCGAAATCCTATAGGATTGAACTTAAATTCGGTCCACAATGTTGCCATGCCTGCCAGAGAAGAGGGATAAGCTTCTACATATTTATGCGTTGAAACTATATAATCTAGTGGGAGGGAGTTGGTGCTTTTTCAGCAAAAGTAGACACCAGAGTCGTCTTACGTCTACCAAGCAGCGATTACAGCAGTTGAAGAAAAGACTTTCGTTCTGACAAAGACTGCGATCATAACAAGAAATGTATTTATATATACAGATAGCCAAGCGGTTTTAAAAGCACTTAAGTATCTTTTAGTCTTAGTGGAGCTAACATCCTACTTCCTTATGACAAACCTGCAACCGGTGCCAGGCCATAGTGATACTCCTGGTAGCTGTGCAGCAGATGGACTACCCAGAGCTAACACCACCCTACAATTAGGCTCCAGAAAAGAGAGAATTTGTATGTCTCCGGCTGCTTGTAGACATTTAATCGACAAACATATTATAAATATAGCTGAGTCTCGGTGGAATCAATTCCTAACTTACTCAACTAGCAGGCACACGTGGTATGAATGGAATATAGGTCGCGCATGCCGACTATCAAAATTCAAAAGGAACCACATAGGAACTCTAGTAGGAGTGCTATCAAGTCACTGTCTAATTGGCAGACATGCCAACCGACTAGGAAAACCACACCATACTCAGGTGAGAGAATTTTAGTTTCATAATGGTCCTCCTAAAGCTCTAGGTGCATCGTCAGACATCCACTCTAGCTACCTAGTAGAAATTATTTTTGAAGTTTTATCATGAAAAAATATATATAAATTTCTTCTGATATCTTTCACTGTATAGAAAAAATAGGGTTAGATAATATAACAAATTTTCTGTGATAATACTTATTTTAAAAATTTTGCTCAAAATAAGCTAAATTTGGAGAGTGCTTGTACCGAGAATTTTTGCAATCGTCCTCTAGCATGCTCCAAAAGAGGAATATATCGAATTTTTAGTGTATTTTCAGAAAATTTGCTCAGCTTCGGTTTATTGTTTTTTACATTAAAGAAAATTTGAAGGAATCACTTCATTTTACGCACATTTTTAAAAAATAAAAAATATAAATTCTCCAAAAATTCAATCTACTAAAAAGCTCATTTTTAAGATTCGAAAAACATGTATAACAAAATTAAAAAATTAAAAATTAAATTAATTTGTACTTACATAAAAAAATATTTAAAAAAAAACAAAATACAACAAAATGCTAAGAAAGAAGGCAGAAGAAAATTAAGATTTTTTTTCAAAATTTTTTTTAAATTAAATCTACAATTATATTTCAAAAATATAAATTAGCTAATAATTAAATAAATTCTTTCTATTGTTTGCTATTAAAAAGTGTTTTAATATGAAAAATGTTATTTTACAAGTATTGGGGCTGTTTAATTTAGCTATAGTCAAGCTAGTGACGCTGTTCGAATTATCATCCTGCCAATTTAAAAAAATAAACAAAATATTACGCAACTTTTATAAAAAAAAAATATTTATATGTATTTAAACATAAAATTAAGACCTTTAAAGATGCTTGTAAGCATATATGCGCTCAAAATTTACACATACTGAAAAGCAATTAATACAATTTAATTTTAGCACCCGACAGCAACTCACACTTGCTGACATACCAAAAAAAAAACATAATAAAAATAACGCAGCCCCACTAAAGACATATTCACACCTCGTTCACACCAAGCAGCGTCTAACACGCCTCTTCAGCGACAGCCCAAACAAAATATTTGAAAAAAAAGCGCAAAAGAAAAAACAAACAAAAAAAACCAGCAGAAAAAACACTAACAATTATGCTGGAGCTAAGTCAAAGCTTAAATTATGGCAACATACATACATAGTAGGTTTATTTATAAGCAAGTTTCTAGCAGCTATTACAGCAGCACAGTCGGCGTGTTGGAATGTTTTGGGCAGCCGGCACAAGCTTTTAAAATAACACACGAGCTTCATGCGAGTTTCAACCGTTGTACATATGTACTTGTATGTATGTAGGAGATATATAATATACGCGTACGTGTGAAATTTATTGTTGCTGGCGGCATATTCGATCCGCTGCCCAAAACAACTTTTGCGCCTGCGCTGAGGTGTGAAGCTGTTTGTTGTTTTTTTTGTTTTTGCATTGCTTTGTAATAATTTTGATTTTTTATTGTTATTGCAGTTGCCTTAATTACGATAACAGCGCCTGTTTTGCCATCGACATGGATATTAACAAAATAACATTAGCGATCGATTTACGGGCATTTTTCGATTTTTTTAATTTATTTATTTTATTTTATTTTTTTTTTACTTTTACCACTTTGCCTTAATTATCAAAATATACGGCATTAATATGCAAGTGTGTAATGGCAACTTGATGCTTTGAGCGCTTACATTCAGCTACATATTTGAGTTGTCGCTGCACGCTGTAAGTCACGTGATGATGTGTGATGTTTCAAAAATCTCCATTAGATTCGATCCAAACGAAACGTGCAAGAAACGTGCTCGTTAATTAAGTCATCAGCAAAAATTAAAAAAAAAATATATATATGAATATTTCATAACTTTCATGCTATCAGCATTTATCTTGTATATATAAATAGTCAAAAATTATGGCATTTGTAGTATTGGATAAGCGGTTATCAGTTGGTTCTCCATGTTCATTAGTTTTCAAGCGTCAATAAATTTCGGGGTATGGCTTCATTTGTAGCCAGTTCGATTATGCATAGCTTTGTCTACGGTTTCAAAGGAATGTTATCAAGCAGTTAAAATCTAAGCGCTTTTTTGGAAATAATTGCATTAAAATTTTATTTGAACGGGAATAAGCTTCATAATTGTCTATTTTATTATTGTTAAAGCAAATGACAAAGCGTGAAATAATAATAAACTTTAATAAAATTTAAACTCAAATTTTGTCCTTATTTTCAACAGTATTCGTCAAAAAGTTAAACCACAAAACGGTGATGCCAGGTTGCATATATAAGAAATGGGCGTGATTACAGACCGACAGCGATCATTTTTGGAATCCTACAAAAGCATAGCCAGAACAATTCTTACACATTTTTATTTTAAAACTCCACAGCTATTTCTTAGTAAAAATTAGCAGAAAATATTGGGCATGATTATAGGTGAATTTCAACTATTTCGAAAATCTAAACATATTTTTAATACCGTTATGAGCAATTTGAAGTTTTCCTATTTGTATATCCTCAAAAGTGTATATTAAGTTTGTAACACACAAAAGGAAACGTCAGAAACCCTATAAAGTATATATGTATGTATATAAATGATCAGCGTGACGAGCTGAGTCGGTTTGTGTCAGGCTGTCTGACAGCCCGTCTATATATATGCGACTGAGGAACTATAGTTTTTAGATATCGATCTGAAATTTTGCATCCGTCCTTTTCTCACCAAGAAGCTGCTCATTTGTTGAAACCAAACTTATCACATATAGCTGTCATACAAACTGACCGATCGAACTCGAGTACTTGTATGCAAAACTTTTTTATTTAACAAGGTATCGTCACGAAATTTAGTACAGATTATTACCTTAGGCATCGCTACAATTTCCAAATTTATTGTTCACATCGGACTACTATAGCATATAGTTGTCATACAAACTGACTTATCCAACTCAAGTTCTTGTATGGAAGACTTTTTTATTTGATGAAATATCTTAACGAAATTTTGCACAGATTATTATCTCATCCATTGCTGGGATATCCGAAGAACTTGTTCAGATCGGACAACTGTGGCATATAGCTGCCATACAAACTGAACGATCGGAATCAAATGCTTGTATGGAAAACTTTCTCATTTGAGGAAATATTTTCTTGAAATTTTACATGGTTTATTGCCTAAAACAATGCCGCAATCTCCGAAAGAATTGTTTATATCGGATCACTATAGCATATTGCTGCCATACACACTGAACGATCGGAAACCAGTACTTGCATGAGACACTTTTTCATTTGTCAAGATATCTTCAAGAAATTTGGCATGGATGGTTGCTTAAAGCAGTGATGCAGTTTCCGAAGAAATTGTTCAGATCGGACAAGAATCAATTACATGTATGCAAAACTTTTTCATTTGACGAGATATTTTTTTACGAAATTTTCCATTATTTATTGCCTAAAAGAAAGATGCAATCTTCAAAGAAATTGTTCAGATTGAGTCACTATAGCATATAGCTACCGTGCAAACTGACTGACTAAGAGGTCATCCTTGCCACTAAATTATGGTGGCATTGTTTTTGAGTTGACTTTAAAAATATTAAAACTTGACGCATTATTCAACTACTAGCTGCTTTAAACTAAAACAAATTGGTGCTAAAATGCAGTTTATAACAACAAAAGCGCACAACGACTTTCTTACAACAACAAGAAGCAGCTATTTTCAATAGACTTTCCACCAACCGCCTCCTTTTAGTATTCCACACACACATATATATATATGTATATATATTATATATAAAGTGGCGTATCAACACTATCAGCAACCACAATGAATTGGAAATCATATATGTTTGCCTTTATGTAAAAACAAACATACACACACGATCGAACTGCAGGAACTGCGACTTGCCGTCGCTGGTGCGCATGCGTATGCCAAGCACGCAGCGGCTGTCAGCTAGCAGCGGCGGCAAATATACAACTCAGTCACATACGTAACGAAAATTTCAAAGCACATATGCCTACTTGTTGCATGCAATCATGCAACACAGTGCACAAAACAAAAATACTAATGGTGCATGCGCTAAACCAGAATTTTACACACAAGAATTGCATACAGCAGCGTCTAAAGGAAATATTTATCGAAAATCTAAGAAAACTACAAACGGCAGTTTTTCTTTTGTTTTAATTTTTTTTTTTTTGTTTTTTGTGTAGTATAAAAGTAGTCAGGGCATTTACCATTTATGTTGCATTAACGTTGCGGCGACTTGTAATCCTTAAAATGCAAGCGTTTGGCAAGGCTGTTGTTGCTGGTGCTGTTTGTTGTTATTGTTGTTTTAGTAAACGTTTTTAATATGAATTATTTATGCATATGGCATTTGCTGACTGCAAAGGCCAATGTTGCACTTTTACACAAATAAACACAATTTCACAAACTCAACGAGTTTAAAGAACTTCGCTTGCGCTTCTAAATGCTAATTGTATTGGGCACATATGCACAAAAATTTCTAAGCTTGTATGTGTGTATTATTATTATTTTCAGCTTTATTTATAAAAGCTGTGCCGCTTACAACAATTCACCGCCGCCGCGTAAGGCGTACGAAAATGCAACAAACACATGACGTTCACACATTTCATTTACACGACGAAATTAATATTAATATATAAATATATTATGTATGTATGTGTGTGTGTAGACGCGTGCACTTTGTAAAATAATTGCCAAGAATTCACAATTGTATGCAACTATGTATATATCTATATCGGGACAACACAAACACAATGCGCTTGCAAATTCGTATTAACGCATAATTAAAATTGGAAATTTTCTTCAAAATATCAAAAAATATATAATTTTTTTAGTGAATTTGCACTGCTTTCTTATGTTTAGTATCTACAGATTCGTTTTCACAACAAAACTTCACAGAATTATTGCAACTTTGCATTTATAAGATAACTAAGAAACACCACGAACGCGTCTCGGTGCGCACAAAATCCAAAAATTTGACGAAACACGAAACGTCCGCGCAACGCTGCTACACAAAATCGCGGTCGTAACAAAACTGGAGAGGCAGCAAGCTGCTGGAGTGCGTGTCGGCCGGAATGAAGGTGTTAAGATATGGCCAACTGGCAATTTACTCGGCGACGCGAACGCGAGAGAGCGCCAGAACATTGGCTGAAGGTAAACCAAATAAGACGCTCACTCCCACTCTCTCACCGGCTGTCGCTCTCACTGACAGCCAAACTCTCAATTAGCATTGCGGCTGCGTTTGCAACTTGCCACAGACACGTATTTATACAAACACAACAAAAACAACGAATACAATAACAACGAGTGCACCGTGAAGTCAACCAGCAAACAACAAATGCAGACATTTTTTAATGCAGCAACAACAAAGCAGTGAAGACATCATGCGCAAAGGAAACTAGCAAAAGCAAAGACGACAACAACAACAACAACAACAACAACACCGGTAGCGCCAACAAAAATGTCCACACTGTAACTGTTGGAAAAGCTGTCCAGCAAGATCATTTACAATTTACAACGGCCGCACACAACAACTAACTGTAAGCAGGCAACAGACAACAACAACAACAACTGGCAACAAGAACATACCATTTGGAGCGGTGGACTCTCACCAAATGTGGCAACTTGTTTTGGGCCACAGCTCAACGCTCATTAGTGTTGAGCGCGTAACTAAATAATGGCCAACAAAAAAGTCAACAAAAATGAGCAGGTAACAGAGACAATAAAAGTAACACAGAGCGTAAGCGAAAATCTCATTGGCGCTGAGTATGCTGCATTTGAGTGCAAGAATAAATGTGTGCGCTCAGGTTCTTGCCACAAGCAAACGAACAGGACTTGTTATGCCAGCATTTGAGAGCAGACAGACTACCTACCTGTTCAGCGGTACTTACATACAGGTAAAACCAGAAATTTTCACTTGTTTTTCCAAGTCTCACTTTTCATTTTCGCTCGCTCGCTCGCTCGCTCTCTTGCTCTCTCTCTCTCTCTCTTCATTCGCTTAACTATTTTCTTTGCGAGCGTTTGACTTGGGCAACAGCGCGCAAGCGTGTAGACAAATTATGTCTTCTACTGAGCGTTAGAATATAAAAATTTTATGGCATCATTTTTTATCAACCGAATGGTGTAATATTTATGTGATAAAAATCAATAGTCGAAATCATTTCAATTGAGTATGTATAATAGGCAGGCAGATAGAGTTTGAACAGGTGTTGACCACACTGGCGATGGGTGAGTTGATTAAAACAAGTTTCTTATCCGAAACTGATGAATCTTGCTGGTAATATGGGTACTCAAGACTATAATAAGATGATTAGTAAATTACTAGTATTTAGAAGAAATCTTGCGGAAAGGTGGTCACACAGCAATTTGAGGTCTAAACACTGTGTCTGATTAATGAAGCAAAACAATTTGTTAAAAATAGATTACGTAGAAATTTTCAGTTTTTACATTTTGTATGCCAGTTATATGCTATGGTGTTCTGATCTAAACAATTTCTTTGGATCTTGTAGCATTGCCTTGAACAATAACCTGCTAAAGTTTTTGAAGATATCTCGTCAAATTAAAAAGTTTGCACAAGCACTTAATTCTGAACGTTCAGTTTGTAAGACAGCTATATGCTATAGTAGTCCAATCGGAACAATTACTTCGGAGCTTGCACTGATGCCTCGAACAATAACTCATGCCAAATTTCGTGAAGATATCTCATCAAATACAAAAGTTTTTCATATAAGCACTTGATTCCGATTGTTCAGTTTGTATGACCAGCGGTTCCGAAAAATGAGCAGCTTCTTGAGAAGAAAAGAGCGTGTGCGAAATTTCAGATTGATATCTCAAAAACTGAGGGACTAGTACGCGTATATACAGATAGACAGATGAACAAACGGACAGACAGACAGACAGACGGGCATGGCTAAATCGACTCAGCTCGTTAAGCTGATCATTTATATATATATTTTATAGAGTCGCCGACGTTTCCTTCTGGGATTAACAAACGTCGTGGCAAACTTAATATACCCTGTTTAAGGTATAAAAATACATGAGTACCCTTTCCAAGTTCTGACACTGTTAAGAACTCTACTGCTACTTAAACATAGAAATTTGACAAGATTTATGATTTAATTTGATGAAATCCTCGTTGTTTTAGTCTTCAAAGTCTATTGCGGCAAGCCATGAACTCAATATATCTAAACAGTGTATACATGTAGGCAACTCAGATTCAAAACTTTTCAATTTTTATTTAAAATTATTTTTTCCCACTCATTTACTTTTCCGCTGTGATTTATCAACGAGATATGATTATCAAGTTGAATATTTATGACCTTAAATCTTGCCAGTTTTTATGTGGTTACATTACTAAAATAGTTGCCTACAATTAGGCGCACTTTTTATTAAGACGTAGCACTCATTTTAGCGTCTACACACACCATAATACCTTCCATGTGATTGTTCCAAAAATTGTTTGGGCATTTTGATTAAACATTGAGTAAACAAAACAATCAATTCGTAAGTAACAGTTAATTTAAGAAGAATCACCACACATTTCAAACTATCGTACATACAATATTATTTGCAACGAGATTTTTTAAATTGTTGCTTTTGTTTTGACAACCGAATTACGCTTTTCTTTGCACTCATACCAAATTAACTCCCATCTTTGCTTTCAACTTTGCTCGCAATACGTAAATTGTGCAATTATTTACTTGCTCTCACTCATAATCTAAACGCGGTGAGAGCGTGGAATATTTCCTGTAGCCACCGGCAAAATATTCGAACATGAGAGATTTAAAAAAGTAATGTTTTTATATAATTATCGGCTTGAAGACTTCAATTGAGTTGGAACTGTGTAGAAAACAAACAAATCGACGACAAAAACAATGCCTCGACAGGGAGCAGCTAACTGAAAATTCTTTAAAAGAAATTTTTACTTTTTGGACTGAGCAAGTCGGTGCTGGGCAGCAATTTAGCATACAAATGCTGCAAGTAAAATTATACGAAGAGCGACAAGCCTGATGCTTTTAACTTTTTTTATGTTGTGCTCTTGAACGTCATTAAGCGAAGAGCGGCTGATGAGCGTGGCACAAGGTTCGGTGTGCTGATTGAGGAATACAGGAAAACTGGTTTCGAATTAAAATTATCGATGCTCATTTTTTCGTTTGCTACGCTGCTATGTTGCTGCTGCTGCTGATTGAACTCCTTTACTGCTGGTTAAATATATATATGTGTGTGTGTGTGGCTGTGTTTTTCTTTTTGCTGGTGATTCCACATTTACCTTGGCTTGGCTTTAGACCTACCTTTCGTTCTTTTGTTGTGTTCGCTGTTGTTGTTATTGCTATTATTATTGTTTTGCTATTCTTCTACGTTTTGGTCACTTTTTAAAGCGTCTTTTTTGTCTATTGCTTTGTTATTCTTTGCCTTTCGCATTGCTCTCAACGGTAATATACATATGTAGTTACATATAAATACTCATACATACATAAATATATGTGCATATGTTTACACATATTCCCTGCACGTGGGCTTACACTTTACTCATACTTATTTATATATTCATATACCATATAAATATATATATTCACATATGTTTATGTACATATGTAATGATAGGATCGGCTGTGAGACAAATATTTAATAATATTGCTGAAATGTCTACGAAAATATTTTATGTGTGCAGAAAAGCTGTAAATTTTAGCAGCTTACTCAAGCATAATATGGCATTTTAAGGAAAGAGTTATCGCGAGTAAAGTAGAACAAAAGTAAACAGTTACTTTCATCGAAATATATTTAAGTATTTGCACAAATTTCACCATTAATTAGAAAAAAGCTATAAAAACGTTGACTTCGGCTGCACCGAAACTATAATACCTTTCACAACTGCATTTTTTATAGCATCAAAGAGAATACAAAGTTCTTTTTCTGGATTTTCATCAATCAGTTTATATAGTAATTATATGCTATAGTAGTTCGATCTGAACAATATGTAGATATCTTGTCAAATAAAAAAGTTTTCCATAAAGAGAAATGGGTGTGTACTCAACGACATCTCAATAAGTACGATACTAGTTAAAGTATATACAACAATGTCCGTCTGTTATATATACTTGAACTACTAGACAAATCAACTTAGTTCGACACGCTGATCATTTATAACGCTTGTCTTTTTTTGAACGTGTGGTATAATAGTTCGGTTTGCGCGACGCACTGCTCGCTGCGTCCAATATTCGGTCGACATAATCGCCAAGCAGAGTCGGTAACTCGAGCAACCACGAATCGGTTTCGCACCACGTTTACGCTAGTGATTAATGCGCATACTCAGAGATGACGTACAGAGCGCACTGAAGACGCTATTGCTGCTGTGGAGCAGAGTATCGAAGAAGAGCCGAATGAGTCCTTCCCTAATCGCGCGCAACAATTGGAGCTATGCGCATCCGCTTTATGTAAAATTTTGTGCAAGGATCTTGGTTTGCGGACTTAGAAAATCCAACTCGTGCAAGAGTTGTAGCCGAATGAAAAACAAGCGCATATCACTTTTAATTAATGAGCCCATAACAATATGGCCAACAATCCCGATTCTCGCAAAAAAAATTTTGTTCAGTGATGAAGCAAACTTTTGCTTGAAACATACACATTACTTTATAAATTAATAAATAAACAAAATTGTCGCATTTGGAGTGATGATAATTCACAAGCCATTATTAAAACGCCGTTACTTCCTCAAAAAGTCACAGTTCTGTGTACTGTATGCGCAAAGATAATCAATGGTCCATATTTTTATGGCAATTAAGCAAATGTTATAGTCAATGGGTAACACTATAGAGAAGTTATTAATGCCTTTTTCGTGCCTGAATCCGAAGATATTGTTATGAAGGACCTTTGGTTCCAACAAGAAGGCACTACATGCCATACAGCCAACGAAGCACCCAATTCATTGAAGTAAACTTTTGGTGCACGCATTCTCTCGCATCGTGAGCTTGAGAAGTGACCTCCAAGATCGTGCAATTTAATACCGCTGAACTATTTTTTTGGGATTATGTGAAGTCGCTTGTCTACGCA